GTTAATGATTAGTCCCAAAAAGAAAAATTTGGGATAAAAGAAAAGCCAGGCATGGTGGCTCATGCCTGTAATCTCAGCACTTTTAAAGGCCAAGGTGGGCGGATCACTTGAGGCCAGGAGTTCAAGACCAGCACGGGCAACATGGTGAAACCCTGACTTTACCAAAAATAGAAAAATTAGCCAGGCATGGTGGCATGTGTCTGTAGTCCCAGCTACTCTGGAGACTGAGGAGGGAGGCACAGGTTGCAATGAGCTGTAATTGCGCCACTTCACAGCCTGGGCAACATAATGAGATCCTGTCTCAAAAGGAAAAAAAACCAAAAACATAGGGATTTCCAAGAGGCAGGGATGTAATTTTAAACATGATGGTCAAGGATGGCCTGTGGAGAGAGTAGCAATTTGAGCGAAGTCTATGTCTTTCGTTTCTATAGACAGTAGCTTCTTTTTCAGAGGGAGAGAAAACTGAGGTGTTTTCTTTCTTTTTTTTTTTTTTTGAGACAGAGTCTTGCTCTGTCACCCAGGCTGGAGTGCAGTGGCGCGATCTCTGCTCACTGCAAGCTCCATCTCCTGGGTTCACGCCATTCTCCTGCCTCAGCCTGCCTCAGCTGGGACTACAGGCGCCCGCCACTGCACCCAACTAATTTTTTGTATTTTTAGTAGAGACGGGGTTTCACCGTGTTAGTCAGGATGGTCTCGATCTCCTGGCCTCGTGATCCACCCACCTCGGCCTCCCAAAGTGCTGGGATTACAGGCGTGAGCCACCGCGCCTGGCTGAGGTGTTTTCAACGATTTTTTTTTCCATAGAGATGGGGTCTCGCTATGTTGCCCAGACTGGTCTCAAACTCTGCGCTGAAGTGAGCTTCCCACCTTGGCCTGTCCAGGCTGGAGCACAGTGGCATGATCTAGGCTCACTGCAACCTCCGCCTCCCAGGTTCAAGTGATTCTCCTGCCTCAGGCTTCCCAGTAGCTGGGATTACAGGCGCATGCCACCACGCCCAGCTAATTTTTGTATTTTTAATAGAGACAGGGTCTCACCATGTTGGCCAGGCTGGTCTTAAACTCCTGACCTCGGGTGATCCACCCACCGCGCCTCCCAAAGTGCTGGTATTACAGGCATAAGCCACTGCGCCCGGCCGGCCTTTTTTTTTTTTTTAAACTAGTCAAGGTCAGTAGTGAAAAAGGGAGAGGAGAAAAATAAATTTTCTGCAATTTCTTTTTTTTTGAGACAGAGTCTCGCTCTGTCACCCAAGCTGGAGTGCAGTGACGCAATCTCAACTCACTGCAACCTCCACCTCCCAGGTTCAAGCAATTCTCAGGCCTCAACCACCCAAATAGCTGGGACTACAGGCACCTACCATGATGCCTGGCTAATTTTATTATTTTTAGTAGAGACGAGGTTTCACCATGTTGGGCAGGCTGATCTCAAACTCCTGACCTCAAGTGATCCGCCCAACTTCACTTCCCAAAGTGCTGCGATCACAGGTATGAGCCAGCTCACCCAGCCTGTTTTCAGCAATTTCTTTCCCACCACGCAGCCCTCCTGCAGTTGCCTCAACTTACTTCCGAGACCTGACTGTGGAGCAGTTTCCTGCTAATATAGGGTCAGAATGATCACACTTCTCTCAGCCCCTACACAGCATGCCAGATCTCTCCACTTGGCTGTTTTCTCTTTCTGGCAAAAATTGTCCAAATGAGCTAGAGTCAAATATAAGTATTCGCAAAATATTGGGGCCATTAAAAAAAAATCATTTGCTGAAATTGAACAGTTTATGATGCCAAGTAATATATTCGAAAAGAAAATTTGCCCAAGTCAATGGATTTCAAAACATTTGACTTATATCCACAGGAAGAAATATATGTGGGATCTAGTACATTCATACATAACATAAATCTAAAACATACCTGGGAGTGGTGGCACGTGCCTGCAATCCCAGCTACTCAGGGGGCTGAGGGAGGAGAATCCCTTGAGCCTGAGAGCCAGAAGTTGCAGTGAGCCGAGATGGCACCACTGCACTCCAACCTGGGCAACAAAGCGAGATTCAGTCTCAAAAAATAATAAAATAAAAGTTTCACAAAATAATACTTACCTTTACTGTGATTCACCTTTATATGTGATTTTTCTTTTCCATTCTATCTTATTTCATTTTAAATAAAGTTTTTCACTATTCACTAAATTATTTCTCAACTGTCTGTTTATTCTCGGGGGTTGGGTGTTCAAGACCTTTTGTTTTCAGAACCCGCAATTTTATCAATAAACTTTTTGTTGCTGTTTGTAGTTTGAGACAGAGTCGTTCTGTCCCCCAGGCTGGAGTGCAGTGGTGCGATCTCGGCTCACTGCAAGCTCCGCCTCCCAGGTTCAAGCGATTCTCCTGCCTCAGCC